GATGAGGAGAGAGTAGGTAAGAAGGGGCTGTGCTGAAAGCTAATGGGGAGGGAACTACCATAGACTGCAAGCAAGGGCTACAAGGAAGAACAGGCCTTAAGGACCTAGGACTTGGGTTCTCTGCTCTAAAACCATGTGCAAATGTTTCCTTTAACTCAAACATAAAAGACTTGGAGTTCTTCTTCCCTGTAACCACTGTTAGCTGTGAGCATATGTTCAGATCTCCGTTAGACTAGGATTCAGATGAGGGCAGGGACTTGGGTCCACCTTACTCACTATGGTAGCTCCAGGGCCAGGCCTGGTACCTGAACATAGGAGACATTTAAAAAATCTATGCTGAACAAATAAGGTTTTACTTACGTAAACATTGCTGTAATTAATAAAACTTTACATATGAGACTTTGAGCACATATGGAAGTCTATATGGTTAAATTTTTTTTTTTGAGACAGAGTCTTACTATATCGCCCTTGGTAGAGTGCTATGGTGTAACAGCTCACAGCAACCTCTAGCTCTTGGGCTTAGGTGATTCTCTTGCTTCAGCCTACCCAAGTAGCTGGGACTATAGGCACCCGCCACAGTGCCTGGCTATTTTTTGTTGCAGCTTGGTGGGGGCCAGGTTCAAACCTGCCACCCTTGGTATAAGGGGCCGGCACCCTACCCACTGAGCCACAGGCGCTGCCCTGTATACTTTTTCCGTAAAGGTGACAACCAACCACTGATTCATTTGGTTTCCTAAAACATACACTGTCACCTAAGCATCTACTGTGTGCCTTTTATGAAGTAATGGTTATACTAGGTAGCTACCAGCTTGCCTCTATGCCTGAAAATAAGAATAAAGTAATAAGTGGTAATATAAGAAATCCAATACATTCAAATTATGAAAAACACAATTCCTTTTTCTTCACAAATGTGATAACTTGGTAAAATTACAACTCTAGACAAATCTATATAGTGCTTTTAAAAAGATGACAATTTTTCAAAGTGCAATTTTCAATGACTAGAGCAGTATAGGGCCTATCAAGAAGAACCAAGTGACTTGGGGCTTATGACTGATGGAGGGCTTGGTGTCTTACCTGTCACTGTACACAGACCTCTCAAAGATCTGTACTGGTTTCTTGGCCTGCAAGAGATTTTCAGGGAAGGGCTCCAGCTGTATTTTCAGGCGGCTCATAAAGGAAACTGTTTGGAATGTGTAGGACCATCGTGTTGGCTCCCGGTACATCATATCAAGCAAGTTTCCAATGCTTTGGGTGGCAGAGTCCTATAGGGAGGTTACAAAAGAAGAGAATTTCCCAGAAGGCATATTTCCTTTGTGGTGTACATGCTCCCCTTACCTCCTGTAAGTAGGCTTACTAATCAATGAGGGAAGGAATTGCGAAAGTTTCCTTCCACTACAAAGATACAATCAGATCCCCAGTTTAGTCGAACTTACATAATTAGGGAAGAGATTTTCCAACCATTTTAGACAAGAAGCTGACAGGAGATGACACACCACCTTCAATATAACACAGAAGAGCAGAGGAAGAACCATATATAGAATTAACACAGTCACCGACTGATGGATTTGTAAAGTCAGTCTGGGGAGGAGTTAACAATCAACAACCAGTAAAAATTCTACTTTGAATCAAATCTTTCCACTGTAACACTATGTTGTCTCTCTTTTGGGCGTCCATCTGTCTTTCAAGGCAGACAAGAAAGGAACTGATTATTTGACAATCCAACCAACCAACCAACCAAATAAAATTCTATGTCTTTCATAGAAGGGCTACAACCAACCAAACAAAAACAAAATTCATCTCCTCTATTCTAAAGACTTTATGAAACATAATTTGAAGAGCTGTGCATGTAGGCACAAGTGTGGCATACCCAGGAGCCTTGGACTGATTTCTGGGTTTGCCGCTGAATATATGCAAAAGTGACTTTCCTAATCACCATTATCTAAAGCCCTATGTAGATGAAGTGCTATGTGAGCCAGGTGCCATAAGGTGTATAGAAAAAGGAGCTAACATTTATTTCAGCCTTGGTTGTACTGCTATCTCATTTAATCTTCAAAAGAGCTTCATGAGGTAGGTACTGTTGTTATGCCCATGTTCCAGCAGGGAAAATCCACTCAGAGATTGTCACTTACTTGTCCAATGTCTCATGGTGAGTAAGTATTGAAGGGACTCAAGCTTTTAACCTCTTCATTCTAATACCTCTCCAAATGAACATGAACAAGACATGGTTCCTGAACTCAAAGAGCTCACAATGCAAAAGGGAAGCAGTGACAAGGATATAAAGAGCTAGAATGTAAGGCAGAAATGTGACAAAGAGATAATCACATTTGGTGGAGAGAATCTTGGGACATTTCTAGAAGAAAAGTGGCATTAAGTTGGGAAATAGCTGGGTATGATGGGTCACACGCCAGTAATCCTAGCACTCTTAGGAGGCCAAGGTGGGTGGACTGCTTGAGCTTAGGGGTTTGAGATCAGCCTGAGCAAGAGTCAGACCTCATCTCTACTAAAAACAGGAAAAATGAGCCAGGCATTCTGGTGGGCACCTGTCCCAGCTACTCTGGAGGCTGAGGCAAGAGGATCCCTTGAAACAGGAGTTTGAGGTTTTTGTAAGCTATGAAGCCATGGCACTTTCCCTAGGCCAACAGAGTGAGACTCTATCTCAAAAAAAAAAAAAAAAAAAA